AGACTTATATATTCCTTCCATGAATTGATGCTAAGTAAGTTTGCATTTTTTTTTTATGGCATAAATTCGCATACTTATGATAAAAATTTAGTTGGTAAATAACAAATATAAGTTGAATATCAAGCTTAATGCCAAAAAGATACTTAATATTTATTAAATAATAAAAAAACATATTTTAAATTATTAATCATTTTGAATAAAACGTAAAATTAAATTAAATATTACAAAATTTATGATCTATGATATTAGGTTTGAAAAAAATAAATTATTTATAGAATAAAATTACAGTAACTAATATATATTGAAGAGAGTAGAGACATATGAAAATTAAAATATGATCTTATGTGATGTGATACGATATGGGTTGCAAGTAAGATATTGTCTCTCTCTATTATTCAAATAATCTTAAATCGTGTTGATATCACAACTATTTAACATAAATAATTATTTTATCACCATCACTATTGTTATTATTTACTTATCATCACCAGTACCGCTGTAAATATTAATATGAAAAGAAAAAATAGTTATGTGTTTTTTTCTATTATATGTATATATGTTTTTTACCCGATTGTTTTAAATATATAATATGTTAAAGAATTTTGCTCATATATAATTAATGTATCCAACTTTTCTTTTTAATTTGTGCAAGTGTTCAATGCACATAAGAGAATAATAATAACTATAAGTTAAACGAGTATAACAGTTATACGTAACATTCACAATATTTTTATCTTTTATGCTTTAAAATAAAAATCATACGAAATATAATTTAATTTTTTATAGTATATTTTTATTTAAATTAAAAATTTATTCTTTTTTTTTTTGGGTGATGATTTAACACTTGTATAATTTCATTTTCAATCCTACACAAATAACCAATAGTTGTCATACATTTGGGATTTTCTCTTTTTATCAAATCAACTTTCAAGTGGTCACATATATAGCATTGGGATTAGAATAGTATTAAGTGAGATATTGTTGTCATTGATTATGAAATGCATACTAATATTGCAACATGATTTGAGATCATTAAATTTATTTATTTATTGAGGGATTTACTTATTTTTTCAATATCAATATTGAATTTGAGGAGTGATATTAGTTGGAAAATTCAAGAGAGAAGATGGATTGAAAGGGATATTACATGTATTTTCATAGATAGATATGACAATACATGGGAATTGAAATGCATGTTGAATTGATAGCCCTACTCAGTTCAATGATTGAAGAAGGACATGCTAACCACTCATGAACCATGCAACTTCAGAGCCATGCATAGCGTATATAGGAGAAAATGATGGTACAATGGCCTCCTCTTCTCTTTTGGGTTAAATCTATGCAATGCATATGCATACATACATACATATATATATATATATATATACTAGAGGTTGTTGAAATTATAATTAAGTAAAAGTAATTTTAAAATGAAAATAACATAATATTTGATAAAATTTACTATAGAAGTGCTGCTAATATAAAATGTAGTATTACATTTAATTAATTATGTTATAACTTATAAATAAGTGTTGAAATGCTAAAATATTACAAACAATAGAAGTTAATTATTATTATTATTATTAGTTAAATTATTTTAAATATTTTTTATAAATTTTTTAACAGTTTAAATAACCTATTTTAATTTAGCTTTTTATGTATTTATTTGTTCCATTAATGTTTTAATATAGTGTAACTTTTATTTAAAAATAATAATCAAATTTAGTATAACATTTTATATTAACAATCTTTTAACAGTAAAATTTATTTCTACACTGTTCTCAGTAACTCACAACAAATGCCAGTCAAGTTAAACCGACCCTTAAAACCAGTTCCTACTTCCTAAGGAAATTAAAAAAAAAAAAAAAAGAGAAGTTCCAAAGGTTTTTTTGTGAAGTATTTCTAGCCAGACATGTAATGGGTACGTATGACAGATGCTGATAGATTGTAGTTGGATGTTACATATGGTTTCTTTCTCTCTCTTTTTTCTTCTAAATACAAAATATTTCGAGGAGGTGCAAACCCAAAGATTCCGTACGGGTCTGTTCACATCTACCAAGTTCGATTGAAGGAAAATAAATGCAGGAAAGAAGAGGAAGATGGACAAACAAGAAGATTGAGATGGGTTCCACTCCAATTGCATCAGCCTTTTAGTTTTATTTTCAGAGGTAGGCCACCGATTCCATTCTCCAATACATTTTTACTGCAGACCCACAACACAGCTGTAGTAAACAGCTGAGACAATGTTAGCAGCCAATGTCATGTTTGGTGCACGTTTCAGAAGAAACATCACGATCATTTCCCACATGATTGCATTTAT